ATAAAAAAATATTTAATTAAAAAATACATTTTTGGAGATTCTCCTCTATTCGAATTACTATCTTTAATTATAAATTATACAATAAAAATTAATTTTTATTTTTTTACCCCACTCTATTCACATAATTTACTCCACTAACAAAAAAAAAAAAGAAGTTATCACTGACTTATATAATTGGCCTCAAATTATTAATTTTGTATAACTTGAAACAGTTTAAATAGTAAAAACCATTTCCATCAAATTAATTTAAAAGGACGAAGGAAATAAATACAAAATTGGCAACAGTAAATAAGAGAGGAGAAAAGTGCCAGGAGCATTAAATGTAAAAGAAGGTATGTAGTACAGAAACGCAGAACGCTGCTCATGCATCACCATCACACCTTCCAATCACATGGCCCCTGATATAGTTGTGTTTGAAAAATACCAGCTAATGGTGACTGGGATTAGGAGGGGGTCCACCACCTCTCAGATTGGGGCAGTGCAGGGACTGATGCACCACCGTCTACACAATTCTTCAATTATTGATAAACTTTGAGATATTATTTAATGTTTATTATATATTATTTTTCTCTTATCTTCAGATGTTGCATTGCATGCGTCGGGTGGTACGTCTATGCAGTCGCAATGCTTCTCACTCACTGCAGTACGCACAGCCAAACAAGTTTTTTATACGTATGAGTGGTGTTTAAATTAATAATTTAAATTTAATTGATAGTTAATAAGTAATATTTAATTATTAATTATTTATAATTTAAAATATTTAATTTATTTAATTAAAATTAATAGTAATAAAGAGAGACCCCAAAAGTGTGTCTCCGTTTAATAATATTATAGAGTTGGATGTAATAACAGATTATACAAAACATTTCTATTCTGATTAAACTAAACAGGTGTGAGATCCGCACCCTACTTCTAAGATTTTAACTTTTGTGTTCATGACATGTTGTTAATTTATCATGACTCAATACATACTGCTTTTCAGGTACTGTTAAAAAAAAATGCTGCTCAAAATAAGCTCTTAATGTTGTTAGGAGTACGGATCCTACCTATTGCTTTGGGTGTATTGCCTTAGACGCTAAGATTTATTGTTTATTTGTTCTTCAAGAAAAGTTTTCTCAAGGGTCGAATCTAAGGTCTCCCTTAAGAAACTTTCGCAAATGACTCTGATACTACTTGAGCTAATTTTCTCCCAAAAAACGAATAAACGATAAGTCTTTAATGCTCAAGGTAATACGCCCAAAGCGATAGGCGGGATACATCCCTACCATATTCCATTGCTTATTTTCAAAAAAAAAAA